TTTTTTTAATTCTTGATGTTTTATAAGAACCTTAATTTGATAATAGATAAAAAAGTTAATGCTCCTTCAATATTTTTTATTGGCGCTGGAGGAGTTCCTTTAGAAATCATTGAAACTGTTCAAGATCTTGATGATTTACTCCAAAAAATTGAAAGTGTTAAATTAAAAAGTGGTATTAAATTTACTAACAATTCTCAAGGTAAATTATAATGTATAAAAATTGTTTATTAAAATATACTTTGAAAACATTTTATAGCAAGCACCGCAGTGTCCAATTTCCTTTCAAATGAACAACAAGCTGTCGAATGTGAAAACGGAGTTTGTAAAATGAAGCCAGAAATAGAAAAAGAAACTAAAATCGAAAAACCTTCTAGTTCCGACATGCCAGACACTACCACTTCATCAAATCTAGTTTCGAATGAAGAAAATGTTAAGGGTGTCATGGAAGGTGAAGAATATAAAAAACCGGAATTAAGTAAAGAAGAAAGAATTGAAAAAGCGAAAGAGATGATTGAAAAAAATAGAGAAATGAAACAAAAAGAGGAAGAAGAAAAAGAAAAATCAAAAGAAATTGAACGTCGTAAAATGGGACAGGATGTCCAAAAAATGAAACGTTGGCAAGAAGACCAAGAATTTAAACAAATGGTAGAAGCTAGAGAAAAAGAAAAGAAAGAACAACAAGCGGCCAGACAACGAGTTTTAGAGCAAATCCAACAAGATAAAGCGGATAGGGCAGCAAAATTTTCCAATCAATCTCCAACATCTCCCCAAGTAAACATTCCAGCCCAAAAAACACCTCCGTGTAACTCTAACATCGTTCGTATACAATTTAAACTCCCCGATGGAAGCTCCCACAATCACGAATTTACCCCAGATACGAAATTAAGCGATCTCAAAGCTTATATTCGTTCAAATATAGCATTAACGTTTAACAATTTCTTATTGGCAACGATGTTTCCAAGAAAAGAATTTTCCGAGGAAGATGATGAAAAATCGTTGAAAGATTTAGAGTTGTATCCAAGTGCAGTTTTATTAATTTTGCCACTTTCTCATGGGGCTGTGTCTACAAACTCTAATACAGGAATATTTAGCGCGTTTATTTGGTCGGTTATAGGCCCTATTTTAAATTTGTTTAGTTATATTAAGGGAATGTTGTTTGGAGCGCCAAGGCCTAAGGAAAATGATGGTAGTGGAAATGGTAAGCGGTCGACTGAACAAGGAGAATCTTCAAGGTTAGAAATACTACGTATTATCAAGTAAGATCCCGTAATCCAAATCATTTTTTCCTTTGTGTATCCACTTTTATCCTGCATGTATTGTAATATATACAGGATGGTCCATTTAACGTGAGACAAGCGATTATGTCGAAAATGATTCTTTTTATATAAAAATGAACCAAATGAAAGTTGTTCTGTGCGAAAGGGGAAAACATATAACGACAACAAGGTCATATGAAGGTCACGACCAATTTTTTAATAAACTATACTATTAATTAACAGCAAGTATAAAATTTATAATAAATGTTCAAATATTTCCCCACCCATTTCAATACAGTTATAAACCCTTCTACTAAAACGTTCTTTACATCTTAAAAGGTTTTCTTGGCTACTATTTCTGCATGCATTTCTTATCTGCTCTTTTATGTTTTCTGGCGTAGTCGATACTTCGCGATAAACATTATCTTTAAGGACGCCCCAAAAAAAAAAAATCGAGAGATGTTCTGGCAGGCCAGGAAATTGGACCTCACCTACCAATCCATCGCCCAGCATAATCCCGATCTAAAGCTTCACATTTTGTAATTGAAGACCTCGGTGCAAGAAGGGTACAACTCCTTCTCTTGGTAAATGGAGCTACCCCCTTCTTGCACCGAGGTCTTCAATTGTGAATGAAAACACAAGTGTTATCTCACATGGCACAGTAGACGCATCTGATATATCAGATCATAATCTTGTGTACTGTGATGTTGAGTACGATAAATAAATGTTTTGGTCAAATTCGCGAAGAAATCCACCCTGCCATTTTCGAAATAACGGCGTCCTACTAAATCGCGATTTTCCGCGAAACTGTATGGAATATCGAAAAAATAAAATATGCCACTCAGTAAGAACACATCAGGCTACCACCTGTTCAAAATTAAAATTTTTTCGGACGATAGTTTTCGAGAAAAAAAAACGTAAAGTTAACAAAGTTGCCGGTACCGTAAAAAATCGGGTACTTTTTTCATTTAACTCCCGATAAAAAGAAAACCGTGAATCCGAAAATTTCCAAATTAACATATGTTACGTAGAAATGTTCAGTGATTACAACAAACTTTGTCGCAATTTTTTTTATCGAACGGTTGCGAGGATATCGATCTCTGAAGTGAGGGGCCTTGACTTTTGCACGGATAGTAGTTGTTTCATATTATTCGAGATACAAAATCTATGTCATACGGGTCCGACAATATATATCTTCAAATGATTAAGCTTTGCTTCCCATTTGTGCTTCAATTATTTTGCACATTATTAATTTTTGCCTGCGAGAAAATGTTTTTCCTGACTATTGGACGCAGGGTCGAGTGGTACCGTTAGCAAAGTCCTGCAACCCGAAATCCTTTAAAGATTTGAATTCTTGAGAGAGTAGTTGATTTACAGGTCCGCTATCACTTAGATTCATACAGTATTCTCCCTGATAAGCAGTCAGGCTTTAGGCCGGATATAGCTGCCAGACGGCATTACTTGACATCACAGACGACATCTTGTCGAATTAATTGTACTTTGTTAACGTTGCTTGATTTCAGTAAGGCATTTGACACCATAAATCATAAAATGCTATTATCGTTGTTACATTATAGCGGCCTTGGGCCGGTTGCTATAAGATATTTTCAAAATTATTTGAGTCATAGGAGTCGGTATGTCAGTCTTCCAGTGGGCTGCTCTGGTTCTTTGGGGGTTTCTAGGGGAGTGCCTCAGGGAAGTATAAATGGACCGCTTCTTTTTATCATATATAGGGTGATTCTCAACCTATACGCATAAACTTGGGGAATTATAATAATAATAATAATGACATCAAAGTAAGTGTTCCAAGTTGTTTCCAATATTTTCTATACACAATTGGGCTCGCCGAATCCACGATGTCCCACTAGCGCGGCCTTACCTTGCTTAGTATTAACTTCCTCCGCTGCAATGTTAAATGCCTGTGTTAATCACTGTATGCCATCCGCAGTATCAGCCAAGAGGACGGCATCGTCTGCATAGCACTCAATCTTGATTTTGTAATCGTTCATAGTCTAACCATAGTTTACATTACATACTTTGTAATGTTTCCCCTGTTCTAATTCTTTTAAACTGAAACAGAGGAAGGCTGCTTGACGTTTTTTCGCCGGAGTTCTATCTGATTCTTTGATACATTTTCGTCAACATTGTCTGATCCGTACATGTCATTAAACATTGTCTTAAATATTGTCTTGTTACTAAATTTCGCCATGCATCATTTGTGTAGGAAACTCGTGCAATCACAAGGACGTGAGCAAACGATACATTCAAATGTATGTAAAAATTTTTTGCAGAAGATGAAATAAGTATGGTGGTGGCAGTTCTAAACAGATGAGATTGTTTGGTGTTGCTGTGTAAGATGATTTCTGGAAGCAAAGACTGTACTCTTTGAAGATGATATGATAGCGCGGCCTAAACCAGGGTGTTGGTGGATTGTCGGCAGCAGTTTGTACCTGATTTCGCAATCCTTGCTCAGTATTAACTTCGAGAGACTGAGGTTGAGGTCGGGCGATCGAGATGGCCAGGCCTATGAGCTACTTTGACCTGTCCATCTTCCGGGAAGTACCTGAAACAAAAAATTTTTTACTAAAACCTTTTTTCACCTATTACCCATTATTTGTCTCGAGGAATAAATCCCCAAGTTTATGCGTATAAGTTGGGAATCACCCTGTATACATCTCAACTTTTTCTTAATATAACCGGCAATTACCATTTATATGCAGATGACTCTCAAATATATCATACTTTCAGTCCCAAAGATACTTCAAGCATAGTGGGCATAGTCAATGATGACCTACGTATAATTACGGATACGGCCTTTAAGCATTGTTTAAACCTTAATCCTAACAAATCACAAATTTTGTTGTTCGGGCCTAGTAACGGTAAAATCTCCATTAACAATACAGTGCTCCAGATGGGATCTGAGGCTAAGAGTCTGGGAGTGGTGCTTGATCCTGCTCTGCGATTTGATCTCACGTCAGCGGTCTGATTAGGTAGTCTGTGGCGATGTAAAAAAGATGTTATGTGAAGCATTAATATTATCAAATTTTTACTTTTGCGATGTACTTTATGGACCTTGCTTGACTGCAGCATCGAGGAGAGTTCAGTTAATTCAAAACTCATGTCTGCGATACATATATGGGGTTAGGAAGTACGATAGGATCTCACATACCTTGTCTATGGCTGCTGGTTGAACATGGCTAACAGGAGGCGACTACATACGGCTTGCTTAATACACAAACTATTAGACATCGCACGGACGTTCATAATGTGAACATTAGGAGGAAATCACTTCTTGTTATACCGAAACACAGGTTAACCCTATATAAGCGATTATTTTCCTATACGGTTGAGCAGGTGTACAGTCTGTTTCAGAGTAAGCGCCTTATTTTTTTTAGCCACACTATGGGTACTACTTTCAAAATATTTGGCAGTAATATGTTTTAGGACATTCTCTACACGATGGTGATACCAGATTTTCAATTGGACTAATTATTTCAAAATGGCGCTTTCAACTTTTTTTTTTTTTAATACAATGCAATAATTTTTTTTTTATTGTTGAGATCCTAAAAACGTTCTTTTCATGTCTTTCCCCATCAAAAAGCAAACTAACATTTTAATCTACTATCCGTGCAAAAAGTCAAGGCCTCTCACTTTAGAGATCGATATCTTCGTAACCGCTCGATGTAAGAAATTGCGGTAAAGTTTATTGAAATCAGTGAACATTTCTACGTAACATATGTTAATTTGAAAAATTTCGGATCACGGTTTTCTTTTTATTACGAGTTAAATGAAAAAAGTACCCGATTTTTGAGGCAAACCGCACTTTTGAAAAAGCGCGGTTTAGTAGGTTGCGGTTATTTCGAAAACTACCTAACGGATTTCAACACGATTTTTCCCAAAATATGTTAAATAGTGTCGGTTATCGGATTCCGTTATCAGTTTTTCAAAATTAGGGCTCCCTAATTTTTTAAGAACGATTTAATGGAAATAAAAATTAAAGAGAAACAAAAGTAAGCTATGCGGGGAGAGGAGGGTTCCGTCCAATCGGAACAGATGGTATGTCCCAGACAGTACGTCGCGCCTTTATCTTACCTACATAAAGAAATAAGGCGCGACGTCCTGTCTGGGACGCACCATCTGTTCCGATTGGACAGAACCCCCGTCACCCCGCAGAGCTTATTTCTGTTTCTCTTTAAATTGTAATTACATTAAATCGCTCTTAAAAAATTAGGGAGCTCTAATTTTGAAAAACTGTTAACTGAATCCGATAATCGACATTATTTGACATATTTTGGTCAAATCCGCGAGGAAATCCACCTAGCCGTTTTCGACATAACGGCGTCTTACTAAATCGCAATTTTCCGCGAAACTGTATGGAATATCAAAAAAATAAAATATGTCACTCATTAAGAACACATCAGGCTACCACCTGTTCAAAATTCATTTTTCGTACTATAGTTTTCGAGAAAAAAAATGGCAAAGTTGACAAAGTTGCCGGTACCGTAAAAAATCGGGTACTTTTTTCATTTAACTCCCGATAAAAAGAAAACCGTGAATCCGAAAATTTTCAAATTAACATATGTTACGTAGAAATGTTCAGTGATTACAGCAAACTTTGTCGCAATTTTTTTTATCGAGCGGTTGCGAAGATATCGATCTCTAAAGTGAGGGGCCTTGACTTTTTGCACGGATAGTAGTAGCTCGTGAATGTTTTACACTCGATGTTATTTTTGTCCAAATATCAAGTAGCGGTAGACACAAAAGAACAATTGAACTTTAATCTAGTAGTCGAACGTCAACCAATGCTATCAATCTATTGACTCCATTGAACGACGTTTCAATTTATGTATTGAAAAAGAAGGAAAACATTTCGAGTATTTTTTGTAAATCATTAATATTATTACTTCCCATCTTGTTAGAATATTTATGTGAATAAAAAACTTTGCTTTTCAGAAGGGTGGAATTTTCTTTATTTTCGGCTCAACCGGTTTCGACTATTCTTTTTTAGTCATCTTCAGGAACAATAGCCACGTCAGTTTCACTCTTAATTTTCATAATCTGAATTCATCTCTTCTTTTATTTACGTTTTCTTGAATTCTTTGTGATTAAATGATGTTAAAATTGTTTCTAATTTTATGTTTTTTTCTTATTTTCTAGATCACGTTAATCTTGTTAGTCTTTACAATGGTTGTTTTATTTTTATTTTATTTTTTTTTTAAACAACCATTGTAAAGACTAACAAGATTAACGTGATTTAGAAAATAAAAATAAAACAACCATTGTAAAGACTAACAAGATTAACGTGATCTAGAAAATAAGAAAAAACATAAAATTAGAAACAATTTTAACATCATTTAATAACAAAGAATTCAAGAAAACGTAAATAAAAGAAGAGATGAATTCAGATTATGAAAATTAAGAGTGAAACTGACGTGGCTATTGTTCCTGAAGATGACTAAAAAAGAATAGTCGAAACCGGTTGAGCCGAAAATAAATAAAATTCCACCCTTCTGAAAGCAAAGTTTTTTATTCACATAAATATTTTTTTGTAAATACCTAATTTTCATTTGATGTAAATTTTTAATTTTGAGTTTCAAAAAATAGATGTTTATTACAAAATAAAGTTTAATTGTTTTTTTTTGTGTCAACGGCTAGAAAAATAACATCGAGTAAAACATTCATGCGCTACTAGATTTAAATGTTAGTAGCTTTTATAGGGGATAGACATGAATTTTTAAGAAAAACGAAATACTATCATAAAAAGAATGTTTTTAGGATCTCAACAATAAAAAAAAATTAAGGCATTCCATTAAAAAAAAAAAGTTGAAAGTCGCCATTTTGAAATAATTCTTCCAATTGAAAATCTGGTATCACCATCGTGTAGAGAATGTCCTAAAACATATTACTGCCAAATATTTTGAAAGTAGTATCCATAGTGCGGCTAAAAAAAATAATGCGCTTACTCTGAAACAGGCTGTATAATGACATTCCATCAGCATTTAAGAAATTAAGTGTATCATCATTTCGGCGACACTACAGGCAGCGTTTACTTCTCACACAATAGTTTATTATTATTAATTATTGTTTTTGTTTCTTTTTTTTTGTTTTTGTTTTTCTCGTGGTGCGATACGAAAACCAGGCACTGCGCCTGATATCACACCATTTGGGCCCTTATTGTAAGTTATATAGTTTAGTTTAGTTTTGAATAGTTTTAAATTTGAACGATTTAATTTTGTATTTGATGTAGTTTGTGGATTAGTTTATTTTGGGTAATTTAATTTGATTTATTCTGTATCAAATTAAGGGTCACCAATAAAGGCATTTATTATTATACATATAAGCGGGTAGGAAAATGTTTAAAAATTCAAAAATCTTATTTGTTCTTGCCAGATTATAAACGTTAGTTAATTGTTTCTGAAAAAGTTTCAATTTTTTTCAAAAGAAGTTTTATCGTTATACGGGCAAAACCACACATTAATTTTTTTTTAATTACTTTACTTTTATTCACATATTCAGATTTTTCAATAAAATATATAGAGTGCCATTTAAAAAATTGGTCGTGACCTTCATATAACCTTGAAAATAAGGTCAAGGTCAAAAAAGCTATCGTCATATGGTTTCCCCTTCACACAGAACAATTTTCATTTGGTTCATTTTTATGTAAAATGAGCCGTTTTCGAGATAATCGCTTGTCACACGTTAAATGGACCAACCTGTATATTAAAAGTTTATTAAATTATTTAGGTCTCCGAAACGAAGAGCTGGAGAAACGACCGCTATAAGAAGACAAGGAAACATTCATCGTTTAACTGATAAAACGGACAGCGATGATGATAACAACACCTGGAATGGAAATTCTACCCAACAAATGTAGAATTTTCTAAATAATTGAATTTATCCATCTTGCTGATTATCACATTGTTTGAAGATTGCCTTACTATATTCGAGTGTGATGCAACTTACTATTTTATTCCTAAAATTAATGAAAAAAAAATCTTCAAGTTAAGAGATATTTATTAGCATTATTTCATAATAATTTTATCAGCAATCTACTACTTTATAAAAGAGATTATTATTTAATTTTCATTTATCTCGATTATTTAGTTGTTTGCTGCTAATATGCAATTATTGGAAGTTGTAAATAATGAATTAAATAAATGTTTTTTTTGCAACTAATAACTATGGTGGTGATTGTCCTCTTAACTTAAGATCCCCCCAAAGTTTGAATTCTTAATGGTCCTTAGTTAGCAGTAAATCTCGTTGTAACGTGGGTATCTATTAAATTCAATTTCGAGAGGAAACCGGGGCGTTTGCCGAAATGGACAAAAAGAAAGGACTCGTAGCCATAGAACGAATCAGACAAAGAGAACCCACAGAAACGTCGACGTCTACATAAACGAGAAAGAGACGAGACGACCGAAAGCGTCGGATGCCTTAATTGGAGATTATGCTGCCCGGGACTGTACCGTTAATGGTCGTTGGGGGACATCGCAGTTTTAATCTGGGACTAATTTGGCCTGCAGCGCCGCTGCGGACGGACTACGTACTAACTAGTCTGTCGGGGAGCTTATAATTGTCCGGCGGCCTGAAAAACTGAGGCGGAGCGCCCTCCCCCCGAACCCGGGGGCCACGCTGATTAAAAACGAGGCGCAGGGGGCGAGGCGAGACGTACGATCCGAACGATGGGGCTGAGGCGGTTTTCCCGGAATATTTTCCGATTCGACCGGCGGCTCTTAATTGAGGGTCCCTGTTTCGATTCCGTTTGATTAATTTAATGCCCGTCTAATATCCGTGAAAACGGATAAATCAATTGTTATACACGAAATGAAAACTAAAAGTAAATATTAACTTTATCATTTCAATAAGGATATTAAACGGAAGATGTCGATGATTTATGATGAATCAAAAACCTTAATGATTCGAGATTGATCGCTAGATCAATCAAAGATTGTTAATAGAATATTATCATAATCATGTGGATTATGTACGATTATCTTCGGTTGTTGTGAGCGAAATTTGTTCCTGAGATTATATTTGCAAGGAATGAATACTATAGAATATTCAAATGGATTTCGTATTACAAGGCAGATGCGTTTTATACATGTATTTGCTATTTGCAAATCCATCTATAAGATACCTTGTTTATATTTGCTATTTCCCACTTTAAATGCGCAATTGATGTTGCTGATTAGTATTTCTTGTCACAAATTTTGCTATTAATATAATTTACGATAATTTCTCATTAATAACACTACTTAGTATACAAATTCATTCTGGGATTTTCATTTCTAAACCACCGAGATATCTGTAAATTCGACCAAGCTGTCCTAGCTTTAAATTATTCACTGACTTTGATTGCTCTGTTATTAACGTCTTCCGTCAATCAACCTTTTCTATAAACATATTGCCCAGAATACAGCTCATCATTCGTTTCTTTGTGGACATGGAGTCATTCAGAAGCTTTTCCAGGCACATTGGTTCAAATAATCTTGGCAGGATTCTGTCCCTGGGCTCCCGTTTCTGCTGTACGAGAATCTCGGCCACTTTGTAAATTGTTGGAAACCTGGCCTGCTATACACCAGCATTTCAGCACCACATTGAGTATGATGTCTTCGGCGATTTTCTTCTTAACTTCCAACTCCTTAAACGACCCTACTACTTCCATTGTAGCGTATTTGACTGTAAGTCTTTTCCTTAGGTATTAATTTAGAGTATATCCTTCAACATAATAATATCACCGAGATTATTTATAGTCGATGGTGACTATGATATTAATCGTAGAGTCTGGGCCACAAGCAACCTCGGCTTAATCAGACATAATCATAGACTTTCTGCACTGAGTTTATTCATATTAACTCATTAAGGACCAGTGATAGAAATAATTGAAAAATTCAAATTTTTTTGTCAATAAACCTTTTTAGGTCTTTAGAAACAATCTTTAAAATATAAAATACAACATAATACATTTTGGTAGATTTTTTGAACGTTGCGTTAACACAACATTGGAACCAACTCCTTGGAAATTTACATTTGATGCACATAAATACTGTCGTGCTTTGATATACCCTGCAGCGTCGTCTCCACTTTTCAATGTTTTTTGAATTATGTATAACACATTATAGTTCCAAAAATTGTGGAACTATGTCAACTGTTGTTGACACTAATAAGGCTTCCTTCAAGTTCCCAACTGAGAAATTGGTTTGTCATTATATTGTTTGCCTGTGCATTTTTCAAACATTTACTATGGCGGAGTCTAACATATTTATAAATGGCAACCACCATTTTTTCCCTGGTAATAGTATTTCAAATGTTCCGACAATATCAAATGGCAAATCTTATATTCCACCGATAGCTTCTTCTAAATATCCTCCTCATTGCTCAAGTTGTCAACTACGTGTGAAACATAACCAATATCAATTACTTCGTTAAGATCAAAATCTTCAAAAATTGCTTCAAGTTCATTCAGCATTAAAGGCCTTTTGGGATTATATTGATATTTGACGCTACTCTAAAGTCGCAAATATACCCTGACGCATATACAGGGTGGTTCAGTTTTTAATCGGGAAACTTTACTAGGACGTAGTACTTGCCAAAATAACACAAGTTTTTTATATAAACATAGGGTCGCAACTCTTTTGTTTTCGAGCTATGAGCGATCAAAGTTGAGCTAAAAATTTACATTTTATTATTTATTTCTCGGTAATGAACTTCATTACGTAACTCAAATCACCTCAAATGAGTGCGGTAATGATGACTTATCCAAGCAGTCGTAGATAAAATATATATTATATTCTTTCTATTATAGATAGTAATTTTTAATTTTTATTTAATTAATAAACGACTGTGAATGCCACCATAACCAACTGTTTGCAGTCACAAAAACAACTTCAAACAAGTTTACAAATGCAATTCATATGTATATTCTACTGGTAGTGGCTAGGTCCCAATGTTGCGTTATGGCAACGTTCAACTTCAAAGTCACTTGGAAACTAGATTTTGTAAAAATAATTAGCTATTCCTTCACTTTCTTGTTCTGTGAAGTATGGTGTATATGAAAAACATTCAGGATTAAAAAAATATATAATAAGAGTTCTTTTTTACAATGTTTTTAAATTCATATTACCATGCTAAAAATTTCACCATTTTTGTTAATTTATATTTACGCTTAAAAGTTGAATTATTTATGATAAAAAATTGGAAAGATTTGAGCACACCTATGCGTGCTCGTTTCCATGTTGCTATGTTAGATGATAAACATAGAAAAGTTGCCTGAAATAAATAGAAATATTCGGAAGAAAATTTTTAAATGAATAAAATAACCCTAAAACAAACAAACACAAAAAAACATTCTCGACATTTTATGGCGTCCATTTTAATGAAAGACGGTTCGAATTTTGGGGTCTACATGGAGAAGTGGAGGAGTCATTAAACTGCTACGGGGGCAGCGGAATGGGGTCCATCCGGGACGGCCATACTCGGGCCGAGCAACGTGGAGGGGATGTTATAATTAGCACCAGATTAAAGTAATGTCAGGGGACACATTAAACGATTTAGCTCTGTTAATTAAAAGTGTAGTGCGCCTGGCGGAATGGAGCAGTTAGACAAATGGCCACCGGGGGCGCTCCACTCGCTACGGTGGCGGTGAAGATCATCCTCTTTCGATGCCCCCCACACACAACCATCGAAATTTCTCTCTTTCTAACCCTCCCTTTCTATATCCATACGATTTTAGTTTTAATCGTATTGATCAATTAATTTTTTCTAAATGAATATATGAATTACGAAATTAGAATATATTTTAACCGAAATACATTAATGTTGAGGGATATGGTTCCTGAGAAAACAAATAATAATATAGCGTTTAGTATTCAGTTCTGCCTTAGAGCGTTATAGCTGCAATTAACATTGCGGTCGGTGGTAATCAGTCTACTAGGGGCTAAAACCCTGTTACGTTTGCGTTTCACGGTCCCGTGGGGGTCCTATTCCTAGAATAATGGCTCATAACCCCATAAAGCAAGCTCACGATTTCGAAATTTACCAACTTTTATGTATCCCAGTAATGTTGATTCATACATATAGGTCATACTTTATTTAAATCAACTGTTGGCAGAATTGAAAATTACATAATTTCTTATGGATTTATAATTATTATAAATTATTCCTAATATAAATTTCCATACGAGATTTGACCAATTTGGAAGTTGCCCAAAAGTAGTTATGACACTGTTCTAAGGTGCAGTATGAATTCGTCGAGGGGATAAAGCCATCCAAGGCGTAAACTCGAGGGCGCAAGAACTGCGGAGACAATTTGGTGCGACAAGGGCAAGAAGACAACGGAGTCGTTAGTTTAACGACGTCGCTAATGAAACAATCCAGAGACGCAATTATGAGAAATGGGACGCTCAACGGAAAGTTACTCCCACCAGGGCAATATCTTAGCGTCGCGGTCTTAATTTTACGCCGAACCCGAGATTAAAAAAGAAGACGCGACGCGAGACGATCTCCATTTTTTATTTAATAATCATCGCCGCGTCGAGGTGAATTTATAACTGAGAAGAAAGTTGGATGTTAGTAGAAATGGGATGAGTTGAGTTAAATATTAAGGGGGACGAAAATTTGAAAATGGATTTTCTCGGTTGAATGGTGAGATTTTCGCGTCGAGTGTACTCGAAGCGAGAGGGGCGTAAAGATGATTTCACCGGTTGCTAATTAAAGTTAAATGAACAATCAACTGTTTTTACGGCGCCATCTTGCGAGAGTTACTTCCGGATTAATGGTACTGGTAGCTGGGGACCAGAATTTTATTCCTCAGTTTGCTCTCGTAATCTGCTAATTTGTTTGGATTTATCGCGTTCATTCGGTTTATTGCTTTCATTTCAATTTAAATTAACAACAAAATCATACGAAATTATTGATTTTTCAGAGTTTTTATCTTCATAAAAGTAGTAAACAAATCTGTTCTGCACAAACACATACTTAAAAACAATTTTATTTCGACCAGATTAACGGTTGACGAGAACCATCGTGTATTCGACAAACTATGAATAGTGGAAGCTGTCAAAGAACACTGTTCAGATGGAAAAATATCATCAAGATATCTTAGAACCTGATAAGCATTCTTCCTGGTTCCGTAATCGTAATGAAAATTCGTTCCTCACTTATGTGATAGAGTGGTATATTTATGTGTACAATAAGCTTGGATAACCAAATGAAGGTTCTCTTAAAATTTTTGCTGAAATTATAGAAGCTGAAAAATTTGTTGCAAAAAGGTCCTATTTAATAACTTTAAAACTCAGGATGGCTTGCAAAGACAAGTACACAGATTCTATCAAGCGAACGAAACCACCAAAAAAATGAAAAGTCATATAACAGTAAAAGATGCTTGGTGATAAACGTACCATTCAATCTAACAATCAAAATGAAATACGCTAACTCTTGCAGTGTGTGGTAATGACAAAAAAGAGCGATGAGGGCAAGATCAAACTACAACATTCTGACAGAAACCTCAACCAAACAGCTTATGGACCAGAAGATGATATCTAATTTTAAGAAGCACATCACAAAAAAATCTGTTTCGTCATTCCTTTGAAGTAACGAAGTATACATATCCATTGAGTAAATTATTTTTCTCTCTCCAACGATGCCACAGCCCAAATTGAGCTTTGGCTTTCATTTTTGCATCCAATACTGCCGATCAAGAGGTACTCTCATCAAGGTTCTGACGCTCATGAGTCGTTGTGTCTACTTCATTCGTCCTGTCTTTGTTTGTGTGGTCTCTTGCCTTGCATTCTGCTGTTTAAGAAACTTTTTGGCATTCTATCCTCTGCCCATAGCAGTCTTTGCAACCTGATGAATTCTGAGATCGGGACTTCCTTGAACAGATGGTTACGTACCACACGGTACCACGTTGTATCCCATTTGGACCAATTATTTTGTTGGGTATTTTTCTTTCAAATAATTCCAGCTTATTCTTTGCGCTCTCTGTCATAATCCATATCTCGTATCCATAGTACAGTAGAGGTTGGTTTTATAAACTGTAATTTTTTATTGTCTGTGTACAATTTTAGAGCGGAATCCCTTTGATAGAGCAAAGTAAGTTCTTTTCGCGTTCATTATTCTATTTTGTATTTTTAGTTTCTCCGATCCTTCTCTATTGAGTTTGACTCCTCACTTCTTCAACATTTTCCTCGGCTTCTTGATCTCGCTTGCGTTAGTATCTTCACCTTTTCTTTATTTATTTCAAGATCAATATTCTTGGCTTCTATTTTACGTTGTGTGTACACATCTGCCACATCATCTGTCCTGCGAGACATATTACGCCAGGCAACATTTACACTCGTGCTTATTAATACAATTGGAAAAGAATATTGAGCAGTGTTATTTAATGACAGGTACCTTAGTGATTTCAGGTATTTTGGACAGTTTACACAAATCTATTTGTGCCGTGTTATGATTTGCAACATACTTTACTTAGTTAAAAGTAGAGAATTCATACTTTGTTGGCGTTTCGAAGTACAAAATTTAACTTATTAGTGAATGCATTTACAGGAAAATACATCATTGTCAGTTATTTCGTCATTAACATTCATGCCAAAACTGATTCGCTCTCTTGTAAAACTGATATAAATGCTCATCACTCAACACCGACAAAAAAATACTTTCCGAACGCTATGGCGATCTCCTTGTATAATTCACACTGTTGATTCAGATTCTTAATAAATAACCAGAAGTTAGAGCAGACTTCTTGCTCAAAATTGCTAATACAGACATTATATGCTTGTTTAATTTATTATTTACCTCTATTCAAAAAGATAGACCTTAGGATAAGAAAGTGATATCTTTCTAGCGACGTAAAAATTACCTGGATATTATGTGGAAGACCACAAAAGCACGAATGTGTTGGATTGGCTTACTTTGGGGTTACGGTATGTAAATTTGAAGTTACTATGTGGTTGAATTGATTTGAAGTTGTAGTTTGTAGTTTAGTTATAATGTTGTTGAATAGTTATAATTAGTGATGGAACGGATAGTGATTTTGCGAAAAGCCGGATACCGGATATTCGGCATCTCCTTCGGCCGAATATTCGGCATATCTATCCGGCCATTATGGTTATAACTTCTGGTGCATTTCTGAAGTGATACCCTACATTGTTGCGATATTTGAATAAAAATGAAATTAATAAGAAAGCTGATAAGATATGTCAACTTATTTGGATCCAAGATACAAAATGAACATTTTTGATGCTGATTTAACTCACGAAGCAACTCTACAAAGAGGATACTTTAATTAATAAATGGTGATATTTCCACAAGGATGATTCATAAAATGAATTTTATAGCGAATTTTGAAAGTTATTGATGAAAATTACAACATCGAAAATTTTATTAAAACTTCATATATTGTTTTCTCAAAAACTAAAAGCTATTTTTCAAAACGTGTCGGTTCATTGGAAAAAGGACACTCTTATTAACACTTTGGAAAATTTTCATACTCATATTCCAAGAAATGGATTTTATACGAATTTTAAAAAATTTAATCGGCGAAAATTGCAAAATTTGAAAAAATTGTCGATTATTTCAAAAATTTATTTCTCAAAAACTAAAAGCGATTTTTCAAAACGGTTTGTTGCATTAAAAAGAAGATACTTTAATTAATAATNACACCAAAATTGTCTAAAATCTTTTATTGCGAGTAATATATATTATCTATAATTATTATAACAGTCTTCATATTACGATGAGTTAACTAAACATATCTAATTATACATCATAGTAACTGTGTCAAAATGCAAAACAATATTAATAAATGGTATATCAAAATCAGTGAAACAAAGAGCTGAAAATATCTCCTTCAAGAAAAAATAAACATAAAAAAAACAGAAGAAATCTAAGGTTGATCCTTGGTTCTAAAAACTGAAAACTAAGATACTGAGATCTAGTCAGACTCATCAAAGTTATGACAAATGTAATGGCGACTACCACCTGTGCACTCTAAGTGTGACCAAAGCTCACATTTTCCTTCGCATTTGATCCACTTTTCGCCAGCCCTACTTACAGAATATTATGCGCTTGCACAAACCAGACAGAAATACTCTTCTTCGTCCGATGACGGTGGTGATATTTTCCGTTTCTTTGCTTTCCTTTTGGTTCAGTAAGATTTTTTTTACCTGCTTCGCCTTCATCCGTTTTTCTTTTTCTTCATATTCTTGCCTGACAGCCTCCTTTTCAGGCGTATCTGTATAGATGGCCTTCGGAAAAGGTCGAACAATTTCAGGAGAAAAAACAGGTGACATGCCTGAGGATGACACAACTGGTTGAACTTTACTTGGATTTGAAATTAAAGATTCGCTCAATAAGGAAGCTGAAAGTGGCGGTATTTCACCGTTAGGATTGTTCTCTCCAGCGTGAAGGCTTGGTCCGTTTCTTTCGAAGGATTGTGAAAAGCCAAATTCTTGTATTAGATGCGGCAGTATTTCATTGTTAGCTACAGGATTGTTTCTTCCAGTGTCAGGATTTAGTCTGTCAGTTACATAAGATGGTGGAAAGTCAATTTCTTGGAATGTATTACGATTATACGGAATACCAGTTTTGCAAAAACCAGCCTGAACGTTCGCTTGAGTGAAAGCCAGAGGCATAGCAGTTTTGATAATACCTGGTACATCGTAGATTGTCATTGTTTTTCCAGGATGACTCCGCATCCATCCATCACAAGCAGTATTTATAGTTTTCTTCAAGGGTCCGAAAACAGATCGATCCAAAGGCTGAAGTTTGGAGGAAATGAAAGCAAAGTGATTCCATTTTTTGTGCAAAAATCTAATGTATTAATATGGATATGCGAGAAATGGTTATCCAACACTAGCAAGACTCTATGTGTTGGAGAAGCATTAGAGAACTTCTTAAAATGTTCGAGAAATACTAGGAACGATGCATTGCGAACAAAATGATCGTGATAACGGACTCGTGGAAATACAAATAAAGGAGGCATAGTATTGCCCAAGGCATTTACTGCAAAAGCAACCGTCACTAGTGTGCCTCGTTCAGCTGAAGTAAGGGATCCCACTTATCGTATGGCACGTCTAGCTACGACTTTATCAGGTTTTTGGACGGTAGTGACGCCTGTTTCGTCAACATTGTATATATCCTGTGGTTCATAGGTGTGCCTGTCCATAACAGTTTGCAAATTGTCATAAAAAGCTTCCACATTTGTTTTGTTAAAGCTTGTTGCTCTTGGAAGGCTAGTAGCTTGAGCCACACGAACAGACAGTGAAGGATTTCTATTCATGAATGAACGAAACCATTCCTCATCTGCCATTTCATTCTCATCCCAAGTACCAGGCCGCTTGAGATTGTATTTGGTAGTCAGCTCAAAAGCTAACTTACGTACCTCTTTAGGAGAAAGGCCAAAATATATTTCTGCGTAATGTGTTATATATCTTGACAGCTGCTGTTCTTGTTTCTCAGAGAATACTTTATTATGAGCGACGTATGGGGTATATACGGATGCTGTCTTCATTGTGATCCCACACTGCCCTCTTTCGGTCTTCCTCAAGCGTTTTCTCGGCATCTAAAAGCAAAAAAAAACAAAATTTTACGTGTCACAACCCAAACCAAGAAATATGTCACAACCGTACCCAACGCACTCCTTCGCAAAAAAAACAATCGCCATGACAATACAAAATAATCTACGTACAAAGTAATTACTGCTATATAGCTACTAATGTTTAGCTTATAACGAGGAAAAACAGTCATTACTCTATCTGTACACATATTACAACAGTTATTAAAAGATATTGAATCAAAATACTTACATTTGACCGTTAAAAAGTAATAAAGGCCTCTGTTAGCGTTAATGTCGCGCGATGGCTGACGAAGTACTGTGAAACACGTTCAGACATTCAAATCGCACCTCTTTCCTCTTGGAACCACCCCAGTTGTCCATATAGTTTCGCTAAAATTGCGACTGTCACAACCGTACCCTGGCTACCCTATAGCTCTTCTTTCCA